ACAAAACAAAAACAACGAAAATGTGCCCTAAAATCAGCCTGAAATCGTGTAACATTGCAGAAATCGGTGGATATGTATTATTCATTTATTCTAGTTTGCTAAGACTTACAAATTATATGATGGAAATTTAGCACATACAGAAAAAAAAATGAAAATTCTTAGAATTAAAATAGAAATCTAATGCTAACTCTAGAATAAAATATTTTAAGAAATCATTCTATTCTGTTTTAATGATAGAGTTTTGAATTTACAATGTTTTCTAATAATAATATTTCGTGTAGATATATTAGTATACAGATATAAATATTAATATTGCAATTAACTTTCACATATCAGTCAGTGATCATTTTGTATCTGCTGCAATTGCATGTGTAATGTTACAAAAGAGTTCAAATCTTCAAATATAACTTTTAATTTTTACAATTATTATTTTTATTCCCATAACAAATTTTCTTCTTGAAATGTTAAGGAATGTAAAAATATGCATTTTATTATCCTATGTCTTATATTTACAAACTTATACTTAAGCGAATACAACACCTTTTGAGAAGGTAATTCTGAGATTATTCTTCGAATAATAGAATTATAAGGTTTTTAATACAACAATAGGATTTTACTTGTTTGTATCAACAACATTCATTATCAATAGAAATGTTATATCATTCGAAAAATTTCAAGTTTACTTTGAATCAATGTATTTTTATTAAATACATATATAATAAAAGATAATATTAAAACTCTTTTTTCTTTTTTTATGTTGATATATGTAATCAACTAATTTTTTACGTTCCCACCCTGTTCTTCTTATAGCATCTATAATTTGACTTTCGTTGGTTTTTCAACAAGAGCGTCAAGTATATTATGTTCATCAAGTGTAGTGATTTTTCTTTGTCTTTTTGGACTGTCAGCGTTAGATTCTGCATATTGAATAGAAGAGCGTTTTTTTATTAGTAGATAAAATTTCTTGAAATAAACTATTATTACTTGAATTGAATGTCCATAATTAAGAGATTTGATTTGTAATTTTGTTTTTCTTATTATCTGCGCCTTCAAAATTTAAATTGTATTGATTAAGAATTAATTTACTTGATAAATTTACTATTTTTTCAAATGAATCTTTGTGATCTTTCTTTCAATCAGCTGTTAAAAAATACGTTAAGTTGATAAAAGACATTTTTTTGCAGTAGAATCACCTGAATTTGCAACATCAATGATCTGGTTGCCTATTTTTTTTAAAGCTTCTTCTGAATATACACATGACCACCATTTTCTGGTAACACTTTTGGCAAATATAATGAGGTCTAGAAGAAAGATAAACGATTCCAATTTTCTCACTCAATGAAACATCATTAGTAAGTGAAAGGCATTTATATTGTCATGCACAAGATGTTAATATATTTTTACCTATTATTTTCCAAGCATCTTCAATGTTCATGACAACTCTTCCCTCTTGAATAAACTTTAAATCTTTATAGCAAAATAAGCTAAATCAATAAGCCTGTGCTGCTTGATACCTGGTGAATGCATCTTAGAATTTTGATCTATGTGAAAATGCATTTCACACACACCGAGTATTTCTAGTCTATCTACTTCATTAATAATTTCAGAGTTTACCTCAAACTTCGATAACTCTTGTTAGTACAAGCTATGCTTGAGCTTTTTTCTGAATCGAAACTCATTATTGGACAAATAGATAAAATATCAGTATTTTTCTTACCAATCTTACCAATTAATAATTCAGTTTCTTCTTCAATATCTGTTTATAAAAATCATTCTTGAATTAATGACAAATTTAAATCGAATTGAAATCAATTATTAATTAAATGCACCATCATTTAATTCCATTTGGGATTCATCATAGACTAGATCAAATTCATCCCTTTCTGGGTTTTCAAACATTATTATATCCACTACATCCTCACACTCTCAACAAAGTTTTTAATTATTTAATTCCTCCATTTTCTCAATTTCAAATAAATTCCCCCAATCCAAAATCAAGAGTATTGTTTTTTTGTAAGCAGACATTCTTATCACAAATAAATAATAAGGAATATATAATAATATTGTTTAAAAAAAACAATATAAATGTCGAATATATATCATATAATTCGAATATAAGCAAATGTTTAAGGCCTCTTCATTCTATTTAGATGTGTTAATGTAAGTAATTTCACTTTTTACATAAAATTTATGAATCACCAAGTTTTTATTGATTCTAAGGCATTTCTAAAATCTAATGATATTTTATCATTTTCATTTACTTCATACTCATCATTATCATCATCTTCTTCATTCTCTTCATTTGATGTTTCATGAAGCAATAATTCATTATTAACAGCATCATCTTTTTCTAATCTATTTATACGTTGAATCAAATATTGAATTAAATGGGAACAAGAAATCATTGACTTTGGAGGAATATTTGCGTTATGGATAAGATTTTACATTTGAGACAATGCCCTTTTTATAAAATTCCAAACAATAATTACACCTGTTTTTTTTTCTCCAAAACATCTATGATGGTAAGCATGACCACATATTAACATTATACCTTCATGTTCATCATTAATTTCAAATCTTCGATTACAATAGTCACAGCTATCATTAGATGGTGATTTAGAACTATGATATCCAGCTGGTAAGCATTGTAATTTTACATCTTCATTTAATGTTGCAAGATGATACTCATTCTTTTTAACCTTTCTACTTTTTCCCATATTTTTATAAATTAGATGAAAATAATTGATTAAAAATATACTAGTTTTATATTTTAAATAATCTATATTCTTTATATGGACAACTTTTAAATTTTCTAAACTAGTTAAAGAATGTCTGTTCATTGGACTCTAATACATATGCCTGAGAAATTATGGCTTCAGAAGAATGATGTGGACTTGTGTTTCTTCTAATTTTACTATGCCAATTTTCAACATAGTAATCATTAAAATTAACGAGGTGAGTTTGAATTTCTTCGAAAAATGGGTGTTTTTTATCTTTCCAATAGAAATAATCAGAAAGGAATGCTAATGGGATTTTATTATAATTTTTTCTATTCCACCTTAATGCAAATGTCCACAATCTGAAGATTGTATCTACATACTGATCACAAGGGCCTGAACAAAAGATTATACTGTAGATATCTAAAGCAGCAGGTATTAAATTATCCAAGAGATCTATTAATGTTTGGAATTCTACATCTTTACAAAGTGGGCCAAATTTGCAAAATATCTCTTTTGCAATCTCTTTCCACCCTGAACTTGCAAGTTCTAAAAGCATATTGATTCTGGTAGGTTTAGGTTTTTTTGCCAATATTTTTTTTTTACCAAAAACTGATTTAAACATTTTTTCAAAAAATTTCCAGTGAACTGATGCTACAATATCTTCTCTCATATTCAATGATACATGTAATGGACCAAGTATTGGGATAAAATTATTAATAAATTCAGGTATCTGTGTTGAAACATTTTCCCCATTTTTTTGTTTATGAAACAAAGTTATTGCTCTTCTTATAAATAGTTGACCTGGAAAATCAGCAACAACTGGTATAACATAATGTTGGAGGTAATAATTCAATGAAGATATCTCTATAATCATCTTAAGAACATTTAAATAATCATTTAAATTTTTAAGATTTTGTTCTTTTATATTAATTAAGTGGCAGTCCATCATAGATCTATCATTTTGACGTTCCTCTATAGCATCATCATATGAATGGATTCTTAAAAGTTCTAGCCTATCAAATGTTTTAAAGGTATTTGCATTATTTTTTAGCCAACTTAATTTTACTGAATTGTAACTATTACTTAATGAATCAATGTATTCATTTATTAAATAAAAATTAATGCGCCAATCTTCAATATTTGCAGGATTATGTATTGGAACATCATTACTAACTGCCAATACAGCTACACTATCTTTCACAGTTTTAGAAACACAAGTAGCCATATGAAAAGCTGTTGAAAGTGTTGTCGTGTTTGGTTGTCTAAAGCTATGAATTGAATGGTAATCATCAATATTGAAGCAAAATAATTTATTTTTATTTTCTTCAAAATACTTATTTATTTTTTCTAGATGTCTACTTGCAATCTTTTTCTTATATCTT